AGTACAACATGTGGAGTGAGAGATTGAACTCACAATCTCTTGGTTAAAGATATATGTCAATTACCATTGAGTTGTTCGCTTTGCGCCCACGTGGCTTAATGATAAACCATTCATTAAAAAAAAAAGTCATGAAGACCAAAATGGTAAAATTACCATCGATCTATTTAGAGAAATTGTTGACCTAATTCTTGCTTCATAGAAAAATGTCTAGAATACCCCTGAAGTTTTAGTTGCCACAAATTTCACAATTGATTGAGGATATTTATTTTAATTAGTTTAACAAACCATTAATTGTAGTTAAATATCCTAATCATATGTGTTGATATATGACAGTCATACAATTAAAACATTTTACTTATTTCTTAGAGGGACTAATCTTATGGGACAACCTCCTAACCGTACCATATTTAAAAAATTAATTCAAAGGGTGCGTAGCCGTCATGGAGTTTACAACCCATTCCCTTTAGGAAAATACCGGGCTCCTGACCGGTGAGGACCAATCTTGTCCTCACCACCATTAAATATTTTACAACTAAGAGCTAGAGAAATGTAAAAACAAACATTTCTTTTTAAATAATGAGTTGTTAATTTTTTTAATGGCATGCAAGAAAAATATTACGTGAGAAGATGGAAGAGTTAAAAGAACAATTAATGGAGTACACACTAAAATGAGGGGAAGATTAGAAATTTCATGTATTTCACGTGTATTTTCAATAAAACCTTTGTATTGGAAGCTCATAATCTCAAGCCTTGTTGGAAGATGTGATATTCCTCTAAAGGTGAAGATCTTTGTTTGGATTCTATTTGTCATGAATGTTTTATTTTAGTACTACAAAAGGGATGCGAAAAGAATTTCCCTGAACAGCCTCAAGCCCAAATTACTGCATATTATGTTTAAAGTAGAGAAGGATCAAGCACACATGTCTTTCACTATTCATGTGGTTGGAAATTCTTGGATTCTTAGTTTTAATGTTTTGGTTGTTCTTGAGCCTTTGATATGTCGGTCAAATTTAACGTTTCTCGACTGTTATGTGGTCAAGAGTAGGGCTAAAATGCTATGAATTAATGATATAAAGGCAACCATTTTGGGGATATGGTGTGAAAGAAATCTGAGATTTTCTAAAAGAAAATATCTAGGTTAGGAGAAAATGGTCAATTTATCAAAATACCATACATCTTCTTGGTTTACAGTTTCAAGTTTCTTTCATCATCATACTTATGATACATTTAAAATTAATTTACTTTTACTGTAAAATAATGGAAGTTGTATAGATTTGTTGTCTTTCAACAACTTTTCACTTACTAAATGATAACGTAAACAAAGAAAACAATAAAAAAAATAGTCAAACTCATTAGACTAGCTTTTGTTGCAATTTTGTCTTCTATATACACGTAACCTGCACCTATAACCTAATTTTTAAAGGGAACAATATCTAGCTAGCACACTCAAGTTCACCTCAAACTCAAAAGAGTCGAATAAAAAAGGACAAAAAGAAATCAGATATCCACAGAATCTCCACAACCACACCATAAAGTCCAAAAGGGTACGTGATTTTCCACTAGAAATGAGCAAATAACAGAGACCTAGAAACCAAATGCATGCGAAATCAAAAATAAAACCTCCAAATCTTCATCGGAACAGATGAATAAGCTCATACCATGAAGCAGGAGGTTTGTGAAATGTATGATTATGGGAAAGACTTTCAAATGGACAGACAGAGAAATTTTGCTCTAATTTTTAAGGATAGAGTGAGAGAAAAAAGGGGAAGAGAAAGAGAACATACCTTCCGTGACTCTAAAGGAGAAGGAGATCGAAGAACCCTGGCGAAGAAGGAAGCTCTCTAGTGAATAAGATAAAGGATGAGCAAGAAACCAAAGCAAAAAAAAAAAGGAAAATAAAAGAAAAGAAATGGAACGGGAGAAACTTATTTTGGGAGTTCCCACAATGTTGCCCTTTTCCCATAAACGTTTTTTAAAATTTAGAAACGAGAACAAGAAACAGGAAATGGGAACGTTACCAAATGAGGCTTAAATTGTTACATACAGGGACTAAATCGAAAGTGTTGGGTTTTGTGCCCTAAACTCGTGGTTTTGTAAACATAAAACAAATATTTATTCAATAAACTTATTATTGATATTTCTTTTAGAATTGCATTAACCCAAATCTAATAAACTAACATCCGAGATTATGTCATATAACTGGAACAATGTGTAACAGATATGCAACTTATATAGTTAATATACAGTGTATATATATACAGTATATATTAGATATACAGGTGGATAATGTTTCAGTAATAACCTAAAGGGTCTATAGTATATAGATAAGGTTGGGTACCTTATCCTGGTAAACACTGTGGATACGACCCATTTTATAATAGTTACAAATTACTTGATCTAGGTCGTTCGTATGAAGAAATTCGAGTAGGGGTATCCTATACAATGAGTTTGTATAATATAATACAGGACCACGAAATAATTAATCTTTAGTTGTAACACCGTTAGCTAATAGATTAATATTTCAATAGGATCATCAGGTAATTCGATCTCAATCTTGA